TAAATATAGGAAAGGAAATTCATGAGTTAAGTTAAAAATTGTAGGCTTGAAAATTCTTGAATGTTAAGAACTAGAGTTGAAGCTACTGGTAATATTAGCAAATTTTGGATAGCACAGAAAGCTTCAATGATATTCGATTTACCATTTAAATTAGCACTTTGTGTAATAGAATGAATATGCTTGCACTCAGTTTTTTTCTTTCTTTTTGAAAGAAGCCCTTTCACAGAATCCATTTAATTCTTTTCAAATGATATGGGTGTTAAAATACAGGGTTGAGTTTTCTAATTTTTTAATATTCAAATTTATATACAGCTTATATAATCCCCATTTTATAATTTTTATTGAATAAATTGAACAATAAGTTTTCTTTTGGCCTTGCTCAAATTTCAAACCTGAACCTTGTCTTTGATGTTTGGTGAATCTTTACAATGCCTGATAGCGCTACGAATTTTGCACATATTTTAAATAACTTTAGTGAAATTATATGTGAAATTGTAGTATATTTTGTACAATGTAACATGAAAATCTAAAGAAGCGAAGCTTTACCGGAAATAAAATAATACAGAGGCAAATCTATATTGAGTAGATGACTATCTCGCTAAACTGGCGAAATGCCGTTAAGCTGGCCATGGTTTTGGAGAGTAACTTTTGTCGCCAAATTTGGCGAGACATCTCCAATATTCGCCAAACGTGGCGACATTTGAGTCCAGTCCCTGTATAACTGTAATGGGTATTGTAATTGAATAAATGTAATTGATGCTATACGTGGCTATAACCTTATCCGGCCCTCATATGCTTTCCAGTATTTTCAAGAACTGGAAGGTTCTGGAAATCTCTCCGGTAGCCGGGAGAGAACTATACAAGACCGGGAAGAGCATCAATTTCGGAGCAGTTAGTTGTTTAGTTCAGCCAGAGTTCGGAGTATTGAGATATATCCGCGTTAGCTTTTCTCTTTAGATGCCCTTTACATTGCCTTGTGTTTAACGTCCTTAGTTGTAACTACTGATCGTACTCTGTGGTACTGTAAAAGCTGTACGAAATTTTTCTGGTTCCGAACTGTTAAAGTTCCCGCGCTGTGAAGCCTTTGTTTGGTAAAATAAATTTTACCAAGTTATAATCGGTTCTGTGTGCATTCAATCTATTACGAAACCATACGCACGCCACAATATTATTCCTGTAAAATTTCTTTTTTTATTATCGTAAACGAGGCATTTTAAATGTCCTTATTTGAAGTCTTTGAACAAATTCAGGTATCATTAAAGTAGTTTTTGCGGGAAACAAGTTAATATGTTATTAATTGTAACTCTTTTGGGAAGGTTGGGATTTGGCCAACTTTTAAAATCTAGACCTCTGAAATCCCCAGTATTATCACCGGTTTTATCACTCAAACGATAAAAGACCTTGATGTTTCTTGCTGAATTCTATTCCTTATAAGCGATCGATTGTTATATAAAAGATATAGACATTTTTTCTTGAATTTCTGGACTATGAAGTTATTAGAAACCATAAATTTAATAATAATATAGCTCATTTCCTGATAAATGATACTGATTCATGCTGTTTAGTATATTCAGTAAGAAGTATATTCAGTGCGGTATGTAGTCCTAAGATTACTTTTAAAAGAAATTTAAATTTAAAAAATTTAAATATAAATTTAAAAGTGCAAGATCTTATTAAAATTTATTGTATCTATAATCTCTACATATAATCAAAATCTCTACATATAATAAAAAGAAGAGTTTGTCTGTCTCTGAGTGTGTGCCTTTCGTTTGTGTTGCGCGTAAGCTAATCCACCCAGGGCTACAAAATTTGGTACATAAGGTGCGTCTAGACAAGAGCCAGTGTACCTCAAAGCGATTTTCTTTTTCAAAATTCGAATGAGGTTTTTTTAAAATGTTTTTGATGAAATCGCATCAAATCGATGGCACGCGGCAACATTGTAACGCAGCCGTTGTTGCTGATATATCACTGCTGCCATTGTTGCTGATATCAGCACTGGTGCCACTCGGAAAAATGAGGGCAATAATTCTGTGCAGTTTTTTAATTTAATGTTTCTCTTGGATACGACGTTTCTCGAGAGGATGCCTGTTTTCTAGTACATTCAAAAGGCAGGCGAAGGCTGGTCGCATAGCGGCTAGTTTAGAATACAGGAGAGCCAAGAGTGTAAAACATTTTTAGATTTGCTATCTCTTATTTCAAATGTCTCGGCAGATATCAATTTCTCCAAAATAAAAATGTTCCATTTCAAAAGTATCTAAATAAATTTCTTTCAAAATACCCAGTTTTATTTCGAAAAAAAAGTAATTATTCCGGAATTCTACTAATTTATTTTCAATTATTTTTAAGCAACCATTGGAAACCCAATTGTTTTAACAGAAAACAAATTTTCAATATTAAAATAAACGTATTTTAGTATTTTAGTATTGAAAATTCTATTCTAAATGTTAATTCTCTTGATTTTGATTTTTAACTTCATAGATATATTGTTTAATTTTCTTCCGATTATTTTACAGTAAAGGATGGGTATTACTTTTTTAGCATAAACAAGAAAAGAATTTAAAAAATTACTTTAAAAAAAGCTCTCAAACAAATTCCTTAAGAAATCTCTACTTTTACAATACTCTATTTGGGACTTCTTGCTTTACTTTTACAATATTTCAACAAAAATGTGGCAATAAACCTTTAAAAATTATCAGTCTCGGATCTGATAAATATTTCACTGAGAATTTAGTCTTTTCATTTTTATTTAAATATTTTAAGTAAATAATAAATTTCACTTTTTGAAATATCAAACAAATCCGAAATACTTCTTCGTAAACTTGAAAGTTTACCCAGAAATATTTTAGATGAAAATATCCTGTGGTTCTAGAAATTAAAGATAGCAGATATAGAAATCTTACGTTCGCAAGCGTGAGTCTCGTTGTTCCATTGAAAATGCTTTCTGCAACCGCATTGTGAATTTTCACAAATTTCTGTCGAGCCGCAGTTCATCAAGGGGCACAAATCTATACCTAAAATAAAATTGAGTATTAAAGAATTATTTCCAAATAAAACGTTCCTTTAAAAAAACTTATACAAATTTCTTTGAGAATAGTCTCATTGATTTACGAAAGATTTTGAAAAATATAATTCAACTTGTCATATGAACTCTGCAGAAGAGCATGACAATTAGTAAAATATACATTACGATTAAATTTAGCTTGAAACAGCACATTTCATAATTTTCAGTAAAACACTTTAATAATAAATTAAAGAAGCCAAAAATAAAGATATTACTTAAAAACTTAATGACGAATGTTGACTAGTATAACGAGTTGAATGAGCAGAAGTCTAAATTAAAATGAAATTATATAAATCTAATTTAGATTTTGCAAGTTTATTAAGGAAATATTTTATTATTTAAGTAACAAATAAAAAGGCTTTTTATAAATGTGCAATAACCAATATTTTAACTATTTTAACTGATATTTAAAAATTATATGTTACTGCACACATTAATTAAAATTTCTTAAAAAATTATTCATAAAAGAATTCTAATATGATTCTTTCATACTTGTAAAAAGTGCTTTTCTCTCTACCTACCCTCCCCCCCCCATTTCCACGTTACGAAAGGAATAAAAACGAAAGGAAAAAAGTGCTGGTCATTTTCCATTTGCAGGGGTTATAAACATATACACACAAAAGAAAAAAAAAAGAAACAGTTTTACATCTCCCATACTAATGGGCCGATTGGCGAAATTTAATTTGCATTTTTTATGTCTCCGAAAGTGCAACTTATGACATATATATTAGCGTCATATATTGCATTGTTCTAATAGCTATTTTGTCACAAAAATCTGGCTTTATCTGAAATGGCATAAGTTCGATTCTACTCCTCAAATTATGTTTAGATTCTAAAATTTCATGTGAAACTTACCGAGACATTTACTCCAAGAATGATTAATTTGGCGAAATTCTTAATTTATGTTAACCTATTTTGCTTTTTCCTTTCATTGTGCACGAGCGGAAAAAAAATGTGCACCGTTCATTCTTTCAAATAGTTTCAACAAAGTGCGTAAACCACATTTGGCGTTATTATTGCTTATAACAAATATGCCAAATTTCAAATCGCTCCAGTATATAAATTCATGTATATCTAGGAAAATTTTGAAATCATTAATTTTTTCAGGTATGCCTAGAAATAAGTCTACTTTAACGTCATGGCAAAATTTTAAAAGTTATAATTCAACATTTCTTCTGAAAATTTATCAAAGTTACAAAAAAATACAAATTTTTAAATTACCAGAAAATACCTGCGAATTTTATTTGGCCTTGAAAATAATCACAAGATCTGGGATAAATCAAACATTAGTATTCCGAATCGAAGTAGTAACGCAGAGTAAAGGAATAACAATGAATCATTGTTTTTCCCAAATGTTCGCTTTTTCAAAAACATTAATGTTGATTTTGCGTTCTGATATTCGCCAAAGAATGCTGTAACGTTGTGTTCCAGAGAATATAATTATAAACTATTATGGAAAGGAGAGTTTCGCTAAAAAAGACTAAACTATTTTCATAAGAATGGTTTCGTTATCAAGAAAACGCTTGACCACTTATGGTACTACAGGCTGGGAAACTTCGAGGGAAATTAGTAAAAAGTATGTAGCCTAAATCGCACCGCGTATGATTTTCGAGCTTTTCCAATACTAAAGAAAGAGTTAATAGAAATTCAGTTTATCACAGACCAAAAATATACAAGCTGCCACGTCCACTACCTCAATCAATTCTTAGAAGATAGTCTGAAAATTTATATTTGGGAAGCTAATGTATCTCTATAAATAAAGTATAGAATGTCAGGATAGTTATTTTATACATGAATTCCCAAAATAGTTTTACTAATGTCTCGATTCTGAATAGTGATTTTTGTCCCCAAATGTTCGCTGGACAAAAAGCGCTATTCGTCGTACAGACGTAACCAATCATTTGTAACTTTCACTTAAATAACTTGCACTATTTTACTAAAGTACTGCGTTAGGCTGGAACAGAGGAGGCCTATCAAATTTTGAAAACTTTCAAAAATTACACCTACTGTCTGTTTCCATTACTAAAGTTCTTTTTAATATTAATGTAAGAATTTTAATGAATTCTCCATAACTAAGAAATGTATTAGAATTCGTTCTAACGAAAAACATCTAACATCTTCTGATGTTTCAGAAGAGACGTTTCAATTTTGATTTCCGCTCGGAACATAAAAAAGAACTAAATTACAGAGGAGAAATTGACAGGGCAGAAATTATAACAGAGTGCAATGAGTTTTGTTCCTTATCTAAAATGAATCTTTAGGCATGCAGTTTGGTGTGTTGTTGTGGATAAACAACCAGTTCTCCTCCCTCTGCTGAAAACGTTCAAAATGAAAACTTTTCTCACGCTTCAAGAAAGAGCAAAAATAAAACATCTCTTTAAAATTCTAATCTGAAAAGGAAAACTTTGTGAACATCATCTACTTCACATCAGAAATGTTATTTTTTAACATTCGTTTTTGTTGAATTCCGAGTTTTCAAATTATGGAGAGGGAAAACCTAAGGTAAGTTCTACAGCAAGGTCCACTACTTTGGCAAATCTAACTACGGCTTTCATTCATAATACATTCTGGGAATTCGAAATCCTTCACTGTGAGAACTATTGTTCTGCCTAGGAATACTAATTACGAAGCTCCTATTCCTTTGATGACCCCCATCCATCTATCTACATTTTTGACTCCCATGTTCATTGAATAATACAACAGGGGGACAATTTTGAATCCTGTGCCAAAAGTTCAGAAATAATTGATCAGCCATCTGCTTTGCAGGGCAATGAATCAATCAAATTTGTTAAATCATTTCTGTAACTAAAATATAACTAAGGCCACAAGCCTTGAGAGGAATTTTTAGGGGTATTAGGGGAAGGACCAAACTCAGAGATTTTAACCACTCATCTTGCTACAATGCGAAGGTCTCAATCCCACGGCGCAGACTTTTAACTTCAATTATCTCTTAAGACCCAAGGTTGAATAGGGACACCGCGCCCTCGTCTCACTTAGGGTCTCGAACACCATCCCAGGGGAACGCAAACTACAGACACCGTTGCTGACCTGGAGATATGACTGATTGCCAAAGTGCCCCCGTCAGTACTACGAGGCCGCTCGTCATCATTACTCAGCATACTCAGACCATCGGCTGTAGGACTTATGCCAATAACCGTCAGTCCGATCGTATGGACGATCTTGCCACGAGGTTCTGGAATCGCCAGGTTCATGTTTTTACTCGCCCAGGGTGTTGCTGCCATAGTAAAATATTAAGTCAGTGCATACACCCAATGGAGTCCGCTTAGCATATGCAACAATAAGGCTGAGAGCATTAGCATTCAAATATATAGAGAAAAAGATCCCTTCGATTACAAAAATTGGCATTCATTCAAATCGTACTATTCATACTATTCACGTACTATTCATATTTCGGATAAAGATTTCCAGAGTTAATGCCAATCAGATACAAGAACAGGTATCGATATATAAATAAATTCCGATAGAGCAGGAACCACATTTCATATGAATAAATTTTCGATATTTGGTCGGCCTTCTGTGCTTACCTTTAGATAAATCAAGTAAAACTAATCAAACACTTACCTCTACACTTCCGTTCCGCATAATCAAAATACTGTCCAGAAGAGCAATTGCAATGGTAAGAGCGTTCATCCAAGTCATTCACACAAGTTGCCTCTCCACAAAACGCGTTACCACCATCCAGGATGCACAAATCGAGATCTTTACAGTCTTTTCCAGAGAAGCCTTTAGAGCAAGTGCAGTTGTAAGTGCTGTCTGGCAAAGCAGTACAGAGCCCATCGTTGGCACAAGGATTTGGCTGACAAGGTTTGTGATTTTCTGAAATTTATCATACGTGATTCAGATTTTGATACCAACGTTTGAAGAAGTAAACTGCGAAAAAAAAAGACAGTTCTAATATCTTGGGCCTATTGACGAAATTCAACTTGCGTTTTTCATGTCTCGAAAAAGCGACTTAGGATATGCATTAGATTTATATATAGCATTGCTCTAAAATAGTATTTTGACATAAAATCGGACATTTTCTGAAATAACATACCAATTTTTTTTCCATATTTCCATTCTACGACTCAAATAACGCCAAACTACCAAGTTTTGTTAAATTCGCCCGAGTAGTTTTTAAAACATTAGCTCTCAAAATTTTAGTTCCTCAGTGTTAATTGAGTTTGCTATATATTTATTAATCTTTCTTTTTTTATTAAGCTTATTTGATTCTTCCTTTCACATTTCGAAATTCAGGTTCATTCGAAATAAAATTCACCCATTTTTTTATGATTTATTTTTAAAATTTGTAATTTTAAATAATATTTATACATTTTTCAAAACAAAACTTTAATTATAATCTATAAAATTTTTACATCATCTTAAAGTAGACGTATTTCTAAGCATACCTGCAAAAAAAATTAGAGCTTTTTGTTCAAAATTTCTGAAGATATACGTGAATTTATATACGGGTGCGTTTTGAAATTTGACATATTTGTTGAAAGTGATAAAACATCAAATGTGGTTTAAAGACTTTGCTAAAATTATTTGAAAGTAAGAATCCCGATGTGACATTTTTTCCGCTCTTGCACAATGTAGAAAGGTAGTAATGAGGTGCCTTTTTTTCCGCTCCAGCATAATGGAAGGGAAAGGAAAATTGGTTGTCCACATATTAAGAAGTGCCACCAAATCAATTATTCTTGGCGCAAAATTTAAAAAATAATTGTGCCAAGATGAATTATTTAATTTCTCCGGAAATTTTGCACCCAATTTTACAAAATTTAATATCTAATCATAATCTGAGTTGTAGAATCGGAAATATGGAAATAACATTGGTATGTTATTTCAGAAAAAGTCCGAGTTTGTGTCAAAATACCTATGTTAAAATAATGCTATATTTAAATTTAATATATATTATAAGTCTCGCTTTCGAGATATTTTACCGCACACCTTTTGTTTCATTTTGAAATAAATACATACACATATAACTCTGTCTTCAATTAAATACATTAAAATGTATTTTAACTTGTATATGACGAACAATAAGCGATGTTTTGAATTATGTAATCCAAAGTAAATTTTAACATTTCTATCACAACTTGAGGAACTGTAAAACATCGTACACCTTGCACAAAAAAAAGGCATTTCCCGTTATACTGGGTTGATTGACGATATACCTGCGAAAATAGTAGATTTATATATAGCGTTGTTCAAACAAAGGTATTTTGACACAAAATCCGACATTTTCTAAAATGTTATACCGAGTTTTTTCCATATATCGATTATGTGACTCATCTTGTGCCAAAGTGCCAAATTCTACGAAATTCGCACGAGCAGCTTTTAAAAAATTGTGTAGTTGATTGAATTGTGTTTATATTTATTAATATCTGTTTTTTTTTAACTGAGTTGATTCCTTCTTTCACTTCTTCATAGTTCGAAATTTAGGCTCAATCCAAATAAAATTCGCAGCTATTTTCTGATTTGTTTTCATAATTTATATTTTTTAGAAATGTTTTTAAAAAGTTTTCGAAATATTTTTAATTGTAACACCTATAAAAGTTTTGCCATCATCTGAAATTCTGATTTAAATTAGAGTTGAATTAAAACTCTATTTTTTTTCCAAAAAATTAGAATTTTATTTATTCAAAATTTTCCATGATATACGAGAATTTATATATTGGCGCATTCTGAAATTCGGCATATTTTTATAAACTATAATAATGCCAAATGTAGTTTACATACTTCCTTAAAATTATTTGAGAAAGCGAACGATGCGTCTTTTTCCCTTTCGCGCACAAAAAAGGGAGATGAAAATTGATTACCTTAAATTTTCTTGGTGCAAACTTTAAAAAGTTCCCCATGATAAATTTCGGAATTTCTTGGTAAGTTTATCACAAAATTTTATAAAATTTAATGTTTAGGCATAATTTGAGTTGTACAATCGAAATATGGAAAACAATCGGCATGTCATTTCAAGAAAGTGTAATATATATCTTACACAGCGCTTTCGAGACATGAAAAAACACAAGTTATATTTCGTCAATCGGGCCAGTTCAACAGGAAATCTGTTAAACTGTCATTTTTCTTTCTGCAGAGTGTGCATATAATAATCATTTCTGACATCCGAAAAATCTTGAAGTTCATGAGGAATTTAAGGAACATAACTAGCATAGGATTTATAAGGATTCAGCAAGGTATTGGTGACCAAAAGTTCAGCCATATTCTTGACGGCATTTTCTGTCATCCACACATTCTTTGCTTCCATTTGGAGCAGATATTAGCACTTGCTTTTAAATTTCTACAAAAGAGGGATTGAAATCAAAAATCTTGAAGCTGAGCGATCCAGAATTTGAAACACTTTGAATTTAATTCGCAATCCATATAAGTAACACATACTTTGTCAAGTACGAAAACTTCTGCAGGATGTCTGAAACGATCGTTGGCAAACTTAATACGCTGGTCTGTCATACCATGACAAACAAGATTTACATAGAAACTTGCGTCGGAAAATCCGAACAGCAACCGCTAGAGGGCAATTTTCGCAAGCGTAAAGGGGAAGAAAGAAAGGATGTCTAAAGAGGTGTTAATATGACTTTTATTAAGGAAGATAGTTAAAGTATAGAAGATGTTCAAAATGCCTTCCATTTTCCACAACGCATGCTGCACGATGTATTCATGGACGGATGTATTCATGGGCCCGTTCAAAATGAGCAGGAGTGTCACAAGCACGTGCTTGCAAGATCCTGGTGACGAGATCCATGTCGGATGTTATGGTCTTCTCATACACCACGTACTTCATGTATTTCCGCAGGCAGAATCCAGGGGAGTCAGGTTGGGGGGATCTTGATGGCCATGCGACTGGCCTGCCTCTGGCAATCCAGCAATCAGGATATGTTCTATCAAGGCATTCCCGCGCAGTGCTGCTAAAACGTGCAGGTGCTCCATCATGCTGAAACCAGATGTTGGAACGTCAACCATGAGATCCAGCAACACACTTTCCACAAAATGTTCATAAAGAACAGAGTTAGTAAACCGATTCATCCTTTTCCTGCAACGTCCTCGCCTGAAACGATCACCCTTTCCACTCTTCCATAAGCCTGCGAACATTGCCCTTTAGAGGTCGCGGTTCGCACTTTCGAGCAAAAGTTCCTACATAAATCTTATTTGTCATGGTATGGCATACCAGGATGTTAAGTTTGACAACGGCCTTTTGAGACATCCTATATAAATTGTGGACCTCATTTTGAATGTATTTTCCTCATCTTGAATATGTGAACACAAAAACTGTTCCTAATCTTTGATGTTTATGGTCCATCAGCAGCCGAATTGTTTAGACAGCCGATTGCAGTTAGTTCAGTTCACTTTCAAATCCAAGATAATGCAAGGCTTCATGGATGTTTTTTGTGGTTTTCCTAATTTGCAGTGAGAATACGATCCAGATTCTTTTACAAAATATCCATGATGATACTTTTTCTCTTAGGTAGATAATTCTAGTCATTATAAAATACCTAATACTTCTGAAGTCCTGTTTGGATCCATCTAATAAACTTTGTACATGAGAAGAAGTTATTGTTGTTGAAGTTATCGGCTTTAAGCTGGTACTGTGCTAGCATTAGAAATTTTAAATGTAGAATCTATAGTTTAATTATAGGGTTTTAAAATGTCGCTCATAATAAAACTATAGTAATTGATTTCCAATTATTTCTCACTATTTATTTGCAGCAGTGAGCAATTCAATGAAATGGTTAGAAAAGCAGTATTATTGCTTGCTGTTATTTGGTACTTTGTAAATAATTGTTTAATTTTAATAACAGAAGACGGAAAATAAATGAAGGTGTGCGAACATTTGCATCTGTTCTGCTGTGTTACAAATGCTATTACTAAGTCTTTACTCATTCAAATATAGGAATCTGTTGAAAGAAACTATAAAAACTGTTTTGCAATCTTTTTAGCTTCTCATGTTTAGATGGCTGCTGGTCATTTTTAGAGTATTTCTTTTTTATAATTCTCCCGTCGTAAACACATCCTTGGTTCACATTCAGTCAAAAACACTTAGAATCGTCCAGAAAGGGTATCAATTACGTGCTGCAGGACGAGAAGTTACGTGAGAGGGAATTTACTATCGAAGGAGGGAAAAACTCCAAGTATTCGGGGGAATTTTGCCATTACATGCTTTTCGTACCTTTGGTTCATATAAGCATAAATTAAGAATCGTAGTTATTTGAAACATGGAAACCAAGCACACTGACTTTTTTTGTAATTTATGAATTTTATAGGAGCAGTAGATATTCCATCGGTTACTTTAAAAAATGAGTTCACCAAAAATCATAAACGTATATTTTTTAGCAGAAGTATACTTATTGTAATATACTTGTAGAAAAAAAAAATGGTCAACAAGTTTTCACCTTATCTAAGTGGTATATGTCCCATATTGTACTTGATTTAACCTGGCATTGCCAATACTGTAATCGTAATATTTACCAGAACTGTAACTTGAAATTTGACAATAATAGAAAAATATTTTTTTTTTCCTTCGTGAAATAAATTTCACGCTTTTTTCCAGCCAATATGAATTGTAACGCATATAGATTTTAGCACAAAAATCAAAAAAAATAATCAGGATTATTTACTACACTGTAATTATTATAATTAATTAATTAAATATAGCAATCGTTTATTATTGTATAATTATTATAACTAATTATTAAGTAATTTCTATTTTTTTTCAGTGTGTAAAAATATACTTACATTTAAGCTCAGAGACAAAAAAATACTGTAACAATTATTAATATAATACAATTATAATTATTTTAATTTCGTTAAATTATTATAATCAATTATAATGATAGTATTATAATTTATTGTACTAAAATATAATGAAAATTATGCAATAAAATATAACAACTAAGTAATTAAAATAAAAAATTTTATAGACAATAACAATTATTTAATACAACTTTACCAGTATATAAATTAAAAAATAAATAAATACACAAAATTAGACGCAATGTAATGAAATAGGTAATTGCAAATGACAATCATATATCAGCTTAGATTAATTAAAAGTAATTTTTGCCCTCATTTCTGTGATATTTGAACTCTACGAAGATAAAACAGTTACAGTAACAAGTATATGGGACAACACGACTTCGTCATGGACAAAAATGGTATAGTTCGCATATACTAACTAACTAGAGAATTTCTTCCCCCCTCCCCATGGGCATACCAGTGGCAAGCTTTGGGACTTTGTTGGATACTGTTAATAGGTTGCATTTTGGAGAATAGGACAATAGTTACATAAGGTAATATGACGTTCGTGGGCTCTTGGTACTTGTCCACAGAAAGATAATTTCACAGGGTACAGGGAATTACGGAATAAACAGGAAAAAAAAAAGGAACGAAAAAAAAAAGCAATCAGCACTACATAATTCATGTCCATCCTCTCTATTTCATGAATAAATCGCTTCGAATAGCGCATGCGCAGTCGCGGCTGCGACGATCAAACTGTAGGTTAAACTTCTTTAGCAGTTTAAAGAAATATTTATCTTTTAATTCATTCTAATCAAGGCTTGATTTAACATACAATTGATTTAAATGATTAATCTATACCGATGATTAATGAAGAATTTTTATAACTATAATTTAAGGTCTGCATGACTGATATATAGGGTAAGAAAGCATTGATAGTTTCATGCCGTTAAATTCACATTCTCAAACATAATCTTGCAGGTGAAACATAAAGAAGGAAGCCATACCTTTACATGTGTGAGTTGTTTCATCTAGGTAATAATCAGTGTCACACTGACATAATTTAGTATCACCGATTTTGATACAAATACCATTATTGCACCCATCTTTCTCCTTATCATCCAAGCAGAAATTCACTTCTTCACACGTGGAACCTGAATAAGTGCCGTTGCAGGTGCAATTGAAGTCATCAGCAGATATTGGTAAGCAAATGCCAGAGTGTTTGCATGGGTTCGGTTTGCAAGGCCTAACAACAGCTGCCAAAACATAAAAACAAAATTTACGAAATGTTTCCTAAAAATATGCAATTGAATGTTAATAAACACTTATGATACATTATCCTAACATTGAACAAAAAAGAATACCAAACACATGAGTTTTATAAAAGGATTTAAATATTATTTGACATTTTCTATGGGGTATGCATTCAACCTTTCCTTCTTCTATAATGAACAGAAAACTAAGCAGTCACGATTTTATACTCTGTTACTTTTTGATTTATAAAAAAGTTTATTATATTTTTGATTTATACAAATATGAACAAATAATGAATTTTAAACAAAAATATTAACACTTTTGATTAAAAGTATTCTTTAAAATTTACTATTAAAATTATTGTAAGTTTAAATCAGCAATTATTAGAAAATGAAACACCTTTTCTTCTTACACTTTTAAGTTTAATATTGGCAACACTAAATTATTAGTCATAGTTTATAACATACGTAAGGGATTAATTTCTATCTATTTTAGGATATCACTTTGGCATTATTTTTAATTCTTTTTTCTTCCTTTTAAATTTTTTCTTAAATTTATTATATTAGAAATTATGATGGGGTCGAATTCAAATATTTTTATTTAATTACTACACAGGGCTCCAATATTCGGTGGGAACAATTTGAAAAGTGTACTGACATTTATAGTGAACCAACGCAAAATGCCAAAACGAAAATAATAGCCCTTCAGGGCAAATTGCTCTTTTGATTATAATAATATAATTATTATCCGTTGTCGTCTGCTTGTTAAATATTTATTAGTCCAAAGGGCTTTAGCCCAGAAGGGCTATTAATTTCGTTTTGGCATTTTGCGTTGGTTCACTATAAATTGTCAGTACACATTTCAAATTGTTGCCACCAAATATTAGAGCCCTGTGTAATATTTACAGAAATTAAATAATGGAGAATCTTATAAATGTATACATATGTTTCTTGCATTGCGATAAAACAACGGTGCCATCAAATTTCGAATAACGTACTTCTCCACCCAAATATGAGCTTTGTAACACTTTAACGAATTTCTGATTGACAAAGTCAACGATTTCAAAGCAAGCAATGACAATACAGTACGGAAAAAAATTATCTCTAGCGCGCGAGTTTGTGTATCGGAAATTCTAAAGATATGCTCATTTTAAAATTATTTTGCGATATTGCTGTTGAATTAAATTTTATGGTTTAGCGCGAAGGCATGATATTTAATAAATAAAGGCAGCACACAAAACGTTAAAAAAATATTTAATCTTTATGCGTGATGTAAAATCTCAAAGCTTTCAGATTTTATTTTTATTTATTATTTATTTATTTATTTTAATATAAGCGCGTTAGCTTTACTCAATTGAGAACGATATTTTATTGATCCAATTTGTGAGCAGCAATAATATTGAAATTCAGTTTATTTTTGTTCTAAGAATAATATTTTTTAAGAGTCTTTTATTAGAACGTGGGACTCCCTCGACTTGCTTGGTTATGCAGTAATTAGAAATATCTTTATCTGAGAATCTTTGATGTGTAGTGTTCTTTATTAAAGTCTTTATGTAACCCCAGGCTCAATGATAAATATTTTAATATGAAATTCGGTGAATTTTCGGATTGCATCTTTCAGTTATCAGAGAAAAAATTTCTGAAATATTCCTATTAGTAAGAAATCTCTCAGTTCTTTTCGTAAAGTTTTGCTGAAACGCTACAGTATACCTAAACCCGAAATGAAAACTGAGAACAAAAAAAAAATGAAAGACACTAGGTGTGTGTAATTATGGCAAAGCCTCGAGGGCTATCTAGGGGGAGGGATGCCTTCGTGGAGGACTTTTTAAGGAAACTGGCTCATATACACGTTACACATGAGGAAAACCACGAAACCGCTCATGCAGCCAGCCCGTTCGAGGGATTCGAACCTCGGACCGAACTACCAGTGTTCAGCGACTTTACCGCTCGGCCGTCGGTGGGCCATTTAGGACACTAGGACAAAGATCAATATTGAAAGCATACTTATTACAAAAGCAATTTTAACAACTTTATAAAAAAACAGCTAATTTCTATGAAAATGAAAATGTCAGCTGGAACAGTGGCGAGAAAAAACAGTGAGAATATTATTTAATAATGCATTAAGTGCTTGCAATCCCATAATAAAAGTAGAAATTAAATGCTACGGCCTAAGGCCAATATAGTTGGCTTAAAGGATGAGATTACACTGTGGAGAAATGCTACTACCAATGATGTAGTTAATATCCAATGATGGTAGTAGCACTGTGGAGAAATGCGACTGTCAATGATGTAGTTAATATCCAATGATGGTAGTAGCACTGTGGAGAAATGCGACTGTCAATGATGTAGTTAATATCCAATTGATGGTAGCAGTACTTTGGAGAAATGCTACTACCAATGATGTAGTTAATATCCAATGATGGTAGTATCACTGTGGAGAAATGCGACTACCGATGATGTAGTTAATATCCAATAATGGTGGTAGTACTGTGGAGAAATGCTACTACCAACATTGGGTAATATTTACTACACTTGAATGATTATTCTTCTTCTTTTGTCTTTCTTTTCAGTTTTTTTATTAAAATTCATTTATTCGTTTAAATAATGTATATTTAAAATGAATTGTTCAAAGTGACATTGTCAAATAGTCAAAACAATGTTTTGTGTTACATTATTTCATTGTAAGTTAACGTCACATGGAGACCTATGTCCTTATGTAATAACAAATTAGTGAATTTCTTTCAGTGGATTTTTTGCAATAAATGTTTGCTTCAAAAGGCAATGTTTTTCTTTTTGGACAGAACTTAAACCCCGCTAACTGAAACAATAAAACCATCATCAGATAGCCTTTTTCAAAGATATTTAATAGTAATTTTACTTTCACATTCTTCTGTATCTTCATTCCAGTAGAAGTTGTCATCACATTTGCAATATTTAATAGCCTGATTAGTGTCAGTGACGCATTTGCCATTTTCACAATGATCTTCTTCTCCACACGTGTTTCGGATAGCACAGTACTCGCCCTCGTAGCCAGTTTCACATTGGCATTCGAAAGTACTATTTTGCACTATACAAATTCCGCCATTCAAACAAGGATTGGGAAAACATGGAGGCTGTGCTTCTGAAAGTGAAAGAAAGAAATATTAATTTCCGCATTACTTAAAGGAATGCTTAGATGTAGCATAATTCTTCTCACCCAATCATTTATTGATTGTTATTTTTAAACAGGAATAAATGTATTACAAAATTCATAAGACTAAAAATTTTAAGTAAGATTTATCATAATTTCAATTTGAGAAGCTTTTATATGGAGACACTTTAATATTAAAGCATACAAGGAATTTTCTCATTATAATAGTCAGGAATTTTCAAGCTTTGCCAGTGTATTTGGCATAGCAGCATTTGCTTGCAATCTACAACCAAATAAAAACTTAAAATTAAAAAAAGCGACAAAATAAATAAATAAATAAATCTGATGAATATTAAATTATACGCATTTTTTGCAGCATTTCACTTAAATTTATTTCCTAGAATTTCATTAGAGATATATTTCTCATTCAATTAATTCATTTCTCACTTCACGGCAAGGCAGAAATACATAAAACCTCAAAATATCTTCATTAAAAATTGAAACATATAGAAAAATATAAAACACCAAATCCAGTTAAAACAATTTAAAAAAACAGTTTTTAAAAGTAAACTTAGAGTTTCTACGCAAAAATGAGCAATTCCTCCAGCGAGCACGAAGGCAGATTTTTCGGTGAAACAAAACTGAAAGTTTACTTTGGGTTTCACTCGACAAAAAGACACTGAAGATGCAGATACTGCCTTAATTCATTATTCTTCTAAGTTTCAAATGTAAACAAATATGGCTGCTACGGTAAAAAAATTAGGCTTAGCCGCACTTAAATAACTTTTAAATTGTTCATAATTCTACAACTATTGCATGCAGATTAACTAAAGGCATAAAATCCTGAACCGGAAGATAAGAACAACATATATCAACCATTTTTAAAGCAAAAAGTGTACAATTTATCAACATCTATGAATAAAGAAACTGAGTTCACGAAACACAGTAACAGAGTGGGTGTAAAAATATATATATTTCTATACTTTTGGTGCAACCGATTGCAACCAAAAAGGGAGGTACACAACTACATGTTATAGCAGTCCTATATACAAAATTTCAATGTTCTGAGGAAGCCCGTTTTTGAGTCATGCGAGATATGTACCTACATTACGTACAGACGTCATAAAATAATCTCTTCTGAATTCATTTTAAATCCTTTTTGCAACACATTTTGAGAAAAAGGCTCCTTTATTTTCTTCTTATGCGCAGATGTCACCCGAAAAATCATTAAATTGCATTCGATAGCAATCCAAATGGATATATTCTCTGAAATATGATACCGAAACAGACATCATGAAACGTACATGCGTACAGACGTTATCAAATATTCTCTTCTGAATTCATTTTAAATCCTTTTTGCAACCCATTTTGAGAAAAAGGCTCCTTTATTCTCTCCTTATGCGCAAATGTCACCCTAAAAATCATCAAATTGCATTCGATAGCAATCCAAATGGATATATTCTCTGAAATATGGTACCCGAAACAGACATCATGAAACGTATATGCATACAGACGTCATGAAATATTCTCTTCTGAATTCATTTTAAATCCTTTTTGCAACCCATTTTGAGAAAAAGGCTCCTTTATTCTCTCCTTACGCGCAGATGTCACCCGAAAAATCATCAAATTGCATTCGATAGCAATCCAAATGGATATATTCTCTGAAATATGGTACCCGAAACAGACATCATGAAACGTATATGCATACAGACGTCATGAAATATTCTCTTCTGAATTCATTTTAAATCCTTTTTGCAACCCATTTTGAGAAAAAGGCTCCTTTATTCTCTCCTTATGCGCGAATGTCACCCTAAAAATCATCAAATTGCATTCGATAGCAATCCAAATGGATATATTCTCTGAAATATGGTACCCGAAACAGACATCATGAAACGTATATACGTACAGATGTCATGAAATATTCTCTCCTGAATTCATTTTAAATGCTTTTTGCAACCCATTTTGAGAAAAAGGCTCCTTTATTCTCTCTTTACGCGCAGATGTCTCCCGAAAAATCATTAAATTGCATTCAATAGCAATTCAAATGGATATATTCTTTGAAATATGATACCCTAAAATTTTCGCGGTTACAGTACTACCTTTACTTCGTACAAGGAAGTAAAAACGCGACGAAAATAAGTAACAAGAAGCGACAAAAATAATAACACCACGAAACAAATAATAAAAAGCGACGAGACTTTTAATTATGACTTCGAAAAATAGTAAAAAACGTTGAAATATTTAATCATGAAACGATTTTGTTACTAAGATACTAAGAAATTTGAAGAAACTTGAGCAGTAAAATAAAAGAATAAAGTTTAATTTCTGTTAAAATCATTTTGCATTCGAATGTGAGCTAACTTTTCTATTGTTTGAAGTTTAGTTGTTGTGATTGCTAAATATTTCTCGTCGCCTTTTGTTTTTATTCATAAATTACAAAATAGTAGTTCTGAATTGTACATCATGACTTACATTTATTCAATATCTGATTTTATTGCAATGATTTTTTGATGATGATCAACATAAATACACTTCGTAATGAATATTAATGAAAATCAGAGGCTTATTACCTATCAAAAGAATTAAACAAGCTTTAAAACTTTCACTGATAAACATTCCTTAAGGTAACCCACCTCGTTCAAAAGGCCGATTTCGACTGAAAAACTCATTTTTTTTAATTTAATATTTTTAAGGGCATATTCTTAGCTATCGAAAACAGCTTTTCTCTTCTTGATATGGATTAGAAGTGGAGATATACCCTTTTTTCTGATACAACAGACCGGAAGTACCTGTCTGCCACACCGGAATTAAAGTTTAAAGAAATTAAGGTGCCACTTCCACTTTTTTCTGTGTTATATAACATTAAATATTTTAAGCTTTTCGATATGTTTGGAGAATCTGGCAAAGTATTTCATTAGTATTTCTCTTTTACATTTGCAACAACGTTTCAAACTTATTGTTTTGTTTACATTGAGATTTCGGTTTTCGTTTTTGTACAAATTTCCTCCACTAATTTATCAGCTAAAGATCTTTTTCTGCGCTTTTTTTATTCTGTTAATAATCGAAGTTCGAGATTGCCAAAATTTATACGTAGTCATTCAAAAAAGCTAAATTTACAGGACTAATACACTAAATATGACGTTGATGCTGGTAATCACATGAACTGAAACTCTGTCTATGAAATTATCTAGAACATTTATTCCAAATAAAAAAAGTGATTTTGATGAAATTAAAGGCAATCATACGTTGAGGTTTCTATTCTTTTAAATGTTTATACTCTCACTTTGTCACATATACCAGGAGCATTTTTAGTGAATATTTGTGTATATAATGTCATGTAACATCTGAAAAACTTTAAACATGATTTTGAAATTTGTTTTTTTCATGTTTCTGTTCACGGCAACATATAACTCTAACGTTCATTATAGAATCACTGAATTTTGACAACACGTTTTAATACATTATTATACATAATGTAGACAGCAGTTAAAAAATTAATCCCAAGAATTTAGTTACATCATTTTCTCTCAAGCGTGTTATTTTTTAAAAACATTTAGTGTTTACTGACAATTTGAGCATATTTGCTAGTGAATCAATTTTTCAAATTATTCTGGTTCAATACATGTTTCTAAGTAGTATTAACAAATAAGCCGAAATAGATTTTATCAATAATATTTTCTTGTCAGTGATGGTTGATATTTTTATTAATTTTGATATAAAATTTTCAGTTTTTTGAGTACATTTCTCAAAGTAATGATTTTTTATCGCTTTTGCAGTGATTACATTTAAGTTTGAGTAGAATTCATTAAAAAATCACTTAAATTCAAAAATATAACAAACATTTTGAAAAACGCCCTTCGAACGAGGTCGGTTACCTTAAGGAATCTATACTTTCCGTAAAAAAATTAGAAACTTGTATTTTTTTTAACTAATCATTGTTAGTCTCTTGCTCATGATTTTAAATTTTTAGCCTCACAAAAGAATTTTTTTCATTTGCATGTTGAAATTTCTCAAAATTTTTCATTTACACAAACTGTTTAGTAAACCATTCTGAAACTTTTCACCATTCGGTCCAAACATCAAAATTTGCGATTCAATTCATTTCAGCTTGCACCCATCTCAAAAGATGCCATCATTTGTTTATTGTTCTTCCTTTTCGCTAATATTTTCATATCCATCTTATTTAATTTCCATTTTACTTAGCTTTTATTTCTCTTTCTTTCACCAACATTAAACGGCAAAATCATTATTTTAATATGTTAGACTTTTATCGCACTTCTTTTTCTGTAATCTTGTTATTAATTTACTTAAAAACAAATCAAAATGCTTTTTTCAATAACTAGCCGTTTGCACGGCCAGCTTCCTACAATAGTTATTAAAAATATCTGATGTGGATACAACAAGACTTCCTTGAGCAGCCTGTTAAATTATACACATTTTTTGCTGCATTTAAACCTATTTCCTCGAATTTCACAGAAATATTTTTCTCATTCAATTAATTCATTTCTCACTTCCCGACAAAGCAAACAGAAAAGCAAAGAAAAAAGTCTAAAAGGTTTCATATTTTAAATTACGTCCAAAGTGGCGTTTTTTTAACCTTTTGTGTGTTACCTTTCTGTATTAAATATCATGGTCTTCCCACTTAAAATATGAAATTCAATTCAATCAGCAATATCGCAAAATAATTTTAAATTGAGCAAATCTTTATAACTTCCGGTACAGAGTCTCAGGCGCTGGAGATAAAAATGTTTCTTTTGTTCCACGTTGCCATTGCTCGCTATGAAATCCTTGAGTTTGCTAATCAAAATTTCTTTAAAGTTTTACAAAATAAGAAATCGATAATAAAACAAATTCCAAATTTCAAATTTGGGCTTCCAGATGCTCATATTCGCAGTAGGATTACGTCACTCGAAATTGGATGGCTCTAGGTACCGTTGTTTTATCACAATGCGAGACATGCAAGTCATACATTTATGCAGATTCTTCATTAT